TTTAAACTCCATTCCTTGTAATCCGACTTAACTATTTTTTCAGAATCACCTTAATCTCTCGATTCAACACTTTCGCTTGTCCGTTCATATGAGGATGATAAGTTGTGGCAATTCTTTGAGTAACAACATACTTCTTCAGTAGTGTTTCAATGACTCGACTAATGCAATGAGTTCCTCTATCGCTTATAATCGCTCGCGGAGTTCCAATCCTGGAAAAAAAATTAAGGAATTCAATAGTCATTCTTGCATCATTGTTTCGGGTGGCCTTAGGCTCAACCCATTTAGAGATGTAATCGACTGCAAGAATTAAATATTGATAACCGAAAGAAGAAATGAAGGGACCAATGTAGTCGACTCCCCGAACATCAAAGATTTCACAAATATGAATTAGACTAAGAGGTAAGTCGCTCCTTCAGCTCAGACTACCCACGAGCTGACATCATTCACATGCTTTGCAATATGCATGAGAGTTATGAAAAAGGTTAGCCAAAAAAATCTGTATTGAAGGATCTTGTGTGTGGTTTTCTTTGGTCCGAAATGACCGCTGCAAGAATAAGAATAACAAAAAGTAAGAATGGAACTTACCTCACTTTTGTCGATGCATCAACAAAGTACTTGATCCAAGTAGTGCTTTTATAGATACGAATTATCCTAAATATAAAATTTTGATTCCTATTTAATTCGCTTAATTTTGGCTCTCAGTAAATCAATCGGAAACTTACCAGTGGCTAAATAATTTACCATGTCTACGAACCAATGTGGTGATTTTTACGCCAACATCAAGCTATCCTCCAAGAATTCTTCTTAGATCAGTGGATCAATTGTGGAGATCAGGAGTCGACTAAGATGATCTACAACCAAATTTCATTTCCCCTTCTTGTCCTTAGTTTCTAAATTAAATTCATGAAGTAGCAGGATCTAGATAATTAGCCTTGGTTTCGCCTCTATTTTGCTCATCAAGTACTTTAACGCCACATGATCAGAAAACACAAGAATTTTAGTGCCATGTAAATAGGATCTAAATTTTTCTAATGCAAAAATAATAAAAATTAATTCATTTTCATAGTTGAATAATTCCGTCGCTCTGAATCTAAAGTTCTTGATGCGTAGGTGATAACATGAGTTTCTTTGCCAATTCTTTGACTAAGATCAGCTCTAACACTCGTATATGAAGCATCACACATGATTTTAAAAGGGAAATCCCAATTCAGCGGTTGAACAATCAATGTCGAGATGAGTTTTTCCTTCAAGATATTAAACGCCTCCTTGCACTTCGGATTAAAATCGAAAGCCTTATCCTTATGCAACAAACTACATAGAGGTTGTGCCACTTTAGCAAAAGCTTTGATGAACCTACGGTAGAATCATGCATGACTAAGAAAAAAGCGGACCTCCCTCACAGACATGGAGTACGAAAGTGAGCGTATAATATCGGTTTTTGCCTTATCTACCACAATACTATCGGAAGAAACAATATGGCCAAGAATTAGTTCTTTATTTACCATGAAATGACACTTTTCATAATTAAGAACTAAATTAAACTCAAGGCAATTTTAAGCACATTAGTTAAATTAAAAATGCATTGATCGAAAGAGTTACCATAAACTGTGAAGTCATCTATAATTACCTAAATCCCTTTTTCAACATAGTCAGAAAAAATACTCAACATGCATCTTTTAAATGTAGTGGGTGCATTGTAGAGTCTGAAAGGCATGCGACGGTAGGCAAACATTCTAAAAGGACAAGTAAACGTCGTCTTTTCTTGATCTTCTGGTGCCACCGGGATTTGGAAAAAGCCTAAACAATTGCCAAGACAACAATAATGAGATTTTCCTACTTTCTTTTAATCATCTTATCTATAAAGTGAAGAAGGAAATGATTTTCCAAATCAATAACTCACCAAAGTCCCTGGTAATGGCGCCAATTTGACAAGCGTCGTTAAATGTCAAACAAATTCCTTTTCACAAAATAAATAAATTAAATAGGAATAAAATTAGTAACCAGAAGAAAAGAGTCGATCCGTATGGACTTTAAAGTTCTTGATATTGTGTTGCATTAGTTCTGAACCAGGTAAATTGTAACAAAAGAAACATAAACAAATGGGGGTTGGTGGAATATGAATTAAATAAAGAATTGAAATAAAGTGATGGAAAACAATTATAGGGAAAATAACCTTAAGCTTACCTTTGACTCAATTCACATTGATCATCGAAATAGATTTTACTCCGGGATTCATGTCAGTTACAGTCTACAAGGCCCAATCCTTGTAACTTGCTTTTCTCATTGGTAACCGATCTTACCAAGTTAACCTCCGAAATTCAGTCCTTGAATGGACTAACTGCGACTATCGCTGCAAGAAAAAATCATATTAAGTTTTGGAAAAGCCCGACTTGGATTATGTTGTCTTGCTGAGAATTGAATCCGCTCTCAGTTTCCCTTAGCGTACTGTCGCTAAGTGTTTTCAAAGGAACTCGAATATGCCATAGGTTGATCCTTTCTCCCAGCTTTAAATCAAAACGACATCCAAACCAACGTCAACTTTTTAATATGAAAGCGTTCTGATTTTTAGAGGAAAGGTCGATTGTCAATCCTAGTTTGCAAAAAACTGATAATGTTACTCGAAGGGTTTTAAGTACTTTTCAATTCTCACCTTTGGAATTTAGTCATTGATAGCTCTCGGCTAATAAGAAAATTACATAAGCATGATAGAAATCATACTTAGTATATTTTGATAAAAACAATAAAGCTTAAAGTGAAGAAAGAAAAATGAAGAAGAAAAGAAAACTAGTTTATAAAATTAAAAAATTAAAAAGAAAATGTAAAATTCAAGATATCTAAGTCATACCCCTAAGGAGGGTATTTATAGGTTTCCAAATCCCTAAAATAGTAAAGAAATTCCAATACAAAATAATCCTAAAGATAATTTCAAGTGTTTTTAAATTCAAACTTAAAACTAAATTTCCTAAAATATCTCCTTGGATTGTGCTTACTAGGTTGCTTCCAGAATCTTCATAATGCTGACTAGACCTTCTAGAAACTGTCACGTCAGACCGCTTCGTGCCTAGTGTCGTGCCCATATCTTCGACTGCGATCAGATAATAAGAAATGCAAAAAATTCCCTTTTACTATTGATTCTAGAAAACAAATCCATGCACGAAAATAAACACAACATAACCAAATCAGTAGTGATAAATTGCTAACGCAGGAAAATTAATATGTAAATAGTATCAATCTATAACACTAATCACTTATGTAACTGAGGGGTGAACTCGATATAGTTGTATGTGCATTTGAACTTATGATATACCTATATACGTATCAATAGATCTATATTCTAATCATTCAAATATTAGCACTAAATTGGTTAAAGATATGAAAATTCCATTATAATTGACTTTGTATAAAGTTATAATGATCAATCATATAAGATAAAGTGCTATAATTATTAGAATTCGTAGATAGTCTTATAGTGAATCAAGGAATAAATTTTTCAACTGACTTGATGAAATTTCTTTTTGATGATTTTGAAATGTGTTGAGTATAGATTGGCTATATGTTTATCATGTTACAATGGATAGTCGCTTAAAGCGATTAAATCTTAAAGGATTGGAAAAATATAAAAATCGTTGTTATAGGTAAAGGATCAAATTATTTGAGAAATGTGTCTCAACAATAACTTGACTTGAATAACTCAAAATTGAAAAAAAAAATTAAGAGTCGAGTCAAGTTTTAGTCTCATCTAATCGGTAATGCATAATGCTAAACAGTACCAAGAAAAAAAGACACGTTAATTTTTTTAATAAAAGGAGGCCAAAGGCCAATACAGTAACTAATGTCTTAGGAAATGGGGACCACGCAGGTCCCTATGCATGCAGTCGGCATATGAAGAGGAGGAACCGAGATGAATTCAGTGGAGCTATCGGGATTCAGGTTCATTTAGCAATGGAGTCGAAAACAAATTTTGCTTCTCGATGGAGAAGGGTGAAGTCCACTATCCAAGATTTGGAGGCCATGTTTGCAATTTATATGTTAACTTTGAACAAAAATCCTCAACACCTCTGAGAGTCTCTTTCTGTACCCACTAATAACATTTTGACACATGTTACTTTAATTTTATGGCAGCACATGTATATTTCTAAAAAATTACTTTCCTTTTTACTTCATCTTCTACATTTTCTCTTTTAATTACGAAGCTTAAAACAAATTCAGAATTTTCAGGTTTATTAATAAGAAAAAGGTTCTCGCAGCAGATTTTAGTGTACCCCAACTAATACATAATCTTCTCGTTCTTTCTGCAATATTAATATCTAATCCTCATTTTTCAATTCAATAAAATAAAGCCACACCTTTGATTTTTATATTGTTATTGTTACGATTTTTGTATTGTTATTGTTACCTTAGCAATTGATATTGACAAAGAACAAGCAGCTTCAGACAATATTTTCATACAAATACTAAAAACAAACTTTTACTTTCCATGGAAAATAAGAAATAAAGTCAAAGGGAGTAGCCGTGTCATTTTTTATGAACCAAATATGGACTTATCTTTTCAGTTTACTTAATCAAAACGATATCTATATATACACGCCAATGCAAACCCTTATATTCATGTATATAGAACTAAATTTGCAGATTTGGGAGAGGAGAATGACAATTATGAAGATTATTTTGAGATCCATCGTCTTGAGTTGTTTAAAGGGTGTTTTGAAAACGAAACGCAAGTAGAAGAAAAACATTCAAATCAAAAAATGGCAACACAGAGCTTTTCATCGACTCATTTTCCAGGTCGAGGTGGGTTTAGAAAGGTTTATGTATGTGTATATTTTCGGAAGCCTTTCAGTTAAAGTAGAATGTAGAAGTTCAAGAAAATCAAGAAAGTATTCAACATCACAATTTTATAATTTAGCCTGATGTACTAACACTAACTTTCTGATTTGGACTTTGGGCATTGCATGGGCAAGGCAATATTCGTTAATTAGATAAAGCACCATATTTTTTTTATTATGATCTAATAATTATAAGATAATATATGTTTATAAATATTTTTAATTATTAATAATACATGTTATTTTACAAACACAAATATTCAAACTAAAAACTTCAAAGAAAACAACATTCTCTTTAATTGTAGAGCAATTTTTAAATTAAGATCAAACACCATATCCAATGCAGCATTGAAAAGTTCATGTAAATATAGTTAAAATAACCCTTTAAATTACCAAACAACACTCTTACAAATTGTAACCCCCTCCCCCCTTTCATTCATTTCAATTATCGTAAGTTTTGCACTCATCAGTCTCCAGGTTGTCTTTGCAGTAATTCTCCAGAGGATCGTTGTCTTTCATCCTGTCCCTGGCGTGGCTGGCTACTGCACTCAGCTCTTCCACCTCATCCCAAGCCGCCACGCAGTCTCCGCTCGCCGGATCACCGGAGCACTCTTCCGCTTCCTTGATGCCCTGCACCACCTTCTCTGATATGCTATCAGAGGCAGGGCCGGTCCAATGAGTTTTAATGCCCTGTGCGAGATAATAATTTTATGCCCCTATACTTGTACCGTATAATAGATAAAACATAAATAATTTTTATAAGGATAGGAAATAAAAAGAAAGTTGCATAAGAAGAATCCATACTCTAACTAAATTTCCTTTTTTAATCATACAATCTTCACCTTCACACGATTTCTTTTCTCAACCTCTTCCATAACACACTTTTTCAAATAGGTACTCTTCAGTAATGAACGCTGACCAAGTCCAAGCAATGCTCAAACTTGATTATAGGTAACAATTTGGTTATCATAATCGTAGGATTATCACATATGTTGACTTTGCTCACAACAATGTCACCTCGAGCAATTACATCATAATTTTTTAGAACGATGGAGAAACATATAAATATCGTTGTGTGATTGGTGAAATGGGGAGATATAACATTTCAACTCTTAGGGATATTGCGTTCTCTGAAAATTTATACATTCATGCATATAATAATTGGTAATAAAAAGCCAAATCCTTTGATAATTATTGAAACTTATCAAATTAAAATATAATTATTATTATATAGTTCAATTGTTATGGTATGAATTATTCATTTGTTTTTGAAATTGTAACTATAATTTATTTATTTATAGTTCATTTATTTATTTATTTATCTAAACAAAATTATGAATAATAAAATTTAATAATTTTAATATTAATATTAATTGTATTTTCAAATCAATACAAATTTTAAATTAAAATTTATGTTTTCGATTTATTTTGAACTATTTTAAGATGAACTGTAATCGTTTACCGATTAATTTTAAATCAAGTTACATGTTAATGAAGAAATCATTTATTTATGCTTTTTATGTTGAACTGGTCTTCCAGCATTTTTCTTTCAAATAGAAAAATAGGCGGCTGATATGTTTGTGCATGAGGATGGTTGTATGGTGAACAACAGAAACTCGTGGGAGCCATGTATGAACTGTACCTAGGGATGATTGGGCCTAGGATGTGTTAGTGGCTGCTGATGGAGAGTTTTCACAACCTAAGCAAGTGTTGAATAGATGGGGTGGGGTCCAAAACTCAGGGGATAGTGGATCGGGCCAAAAAAAGACCTTTCGAAGATATAATGGATATGGATCTTGTAGTTGAAAATAAAGAAGGGAAGGTTGACTTCACTGCAGGTGGCCTTAATGGTGAAAACTGACGCCCTTACGTGTTGTCCTGGGCTGTCGCCCACATATGTATTGAGTCAATCCTGATCAAAGGTAGCTCTCACAAGTAGAATCACCTACATCAGGTATGAACATATAATTTTAAATTAGGGATGAGTTTTTAAATTTTAGAAAAAATAAATTTATAAAAACTTTGGAGAGAAACAAATTATTGATAGAAAATGCACATAAAAAATTTAAGATGTAGAAGAACTAAAAAATTATAGAGAGACGGTTGTTCCCCTTCCTTTCGGTCTATTCCTACCTGCATCCGTCTACACCCCAAAGGGGTTATTCTTTTCCATGACTGGTTCTTCTGGTTAAGGTATGGAACCTTGGTGGAATCTGGTAGGTTGGCTGCGATCCTTGGGGTTAGGAGGTTAAAACTAAACAGAGTTGCCATTGTTGTTCTGGTTTTCTCTGTTAAGAGTGGAAAGGGTGAGCTTCCATAGATTTCTTATCACCTTGGAACCAATAAAATATTTCCACGTTCCACACATATGTTGAGTTATTTAATGGAATATTAAATTTTAACATTAATCTTAAATTAGTTATAAAGTTAACTGCATCACGTATGAATCTTATTTTAAATTTTAAACTTTTAAATATTTTACTTTCATCCCTAAAATATGACTATCATTCTAAATTATTCCACAATCTTTTGAACATTTTGATTTCATCCCCAAACAATGATCTTTATTCTAAATTGATCCATAAACTTTTTGAACATTTGAATTTCATCCCAAACTATACATATATATCAGTCACATCCCTTTGTTAATAAAATCATTACGACAAGTTATTTATTATTTGTTTGAATAAAAATCAAAGTTTATGTTAAACTACAATTGTAACTAATTATATATTTGGATGAATTTGAGGATGAAATTAGAATATAAAAAAGTTTGAGAATCTATTTAGAAAGTTGTAGTTTAATGATGAAATTAGAACATTCAAAAGTTACATTAATTTAAAATAAAAGTTATAGTTTATGGATGAAATTGGAATATTCAAAAGTTTAAGGATTAGTTTAAAATAAAAGTTATAATTTGGAGATAATATGATGAAATTATCTCTATTAAATTATTTTAAAAATAAAAGTATTATGTGCAAATAATCAAACTTAATGAATGTTTTAAGTGAATGAACTTTTGTCTGTCATCAGTAAAATTTTTAAAAGTGTTTGTATTTATTTATTTATTTATTTTAATTATACAAATATATTCAATATCTACAAACATAATTAAAAATAAGTCATCAACTACAAAAAAAACAAAAAAAAAAAACAAAAATATTTAATATTATTTATAAAAATAACATATGCTAATAGTTATAATAGTTTTAGAGTAAACAATGTTTTAAGTCCCTCAATTTAGTATTTATTTTTATTTTGGTGATTCAACATTAAAAGTTTTCAATTTTATCTTTAAACTTCCAAATTTTGTTTGTTTTGACCCTTTAACCATTAAATTTCTAACATCAACACAAAATATTGCATTTTGGGACTTTACGTATGAATTGTTTTTCAAATTTTATATTTTTTCTTTTTCATGGTCAAAATATTTTTTTCACCGTTGTTTGACCACTACTAACCATCATTTATGACATTATTGTTACCAAAATATTTCCCTTTTTCCCTTTAATATTTTTAAATTGGAAAAATTCAGGTCAAATCTTCAATACTATTTTGGTCCAATCTATAATAACATCAACAAGATATATATATCTTGAACCTCCTCACCTTTCAAATTTCTTTTGGATTTGAAAGAAAATACTTTAGTGCTAAATATGATAAATAAAAAAGTAAAACAAATCTAGATTTAATATGAAAATATTAAGAGAATTTTTTGTATAAATTTATCAAAAACAAATAACGACTTAACTCTAGTGTGATGTCATAACGAATGGAATTTAAAAGTTAAAATTATTGATAATAAACAAACAACTAATTATAAACGATGATGTTCAAAGCAAAACATAATTCATTCATGATCCGCTCGTTTAATAAATGATTCCTTCAAAATTAATAGCAGATCCACGTATATTTTAAGGCAATTTGTGTCCATCTTAAAACCTGATTTATTGTACAAACTAACTTATTTAAGTGATTAAAGGGATCAGTGATATTCTTATAGATCACGAGTTCGAGCACCAACAGTTGCAGTAGGGTAATTGAACATTCATTGTCAAATGGTTGAGAATATTTAAAACAAATACTACTTTGTAATTGTTGACACTCGTTTTTGCCTGGAATTTATTATTATTATTATTATTATTATTATTATTATTATTATTATTATTATTATTATTATTATTATTATTGTTGTTGTTGTTGTTGTTGTTGTTGTTGTTGTTTTTATTGTTTTCAAGTTACAAAGTTGGCCCAAATGCCATCAATTACAAAGGACCCATTTGCATGTGCCCATTTTTTGTTCAAGCCCAACAAATACAACCTCAAGCCCATTTAGTTGCCAACCCACCAGGGAACTAGCCCACTACAATGAACCACTGGTTCAGACATGGTTACAGCTGACCCAAACCCAATTAGGGTTTTATCTCAGCTTCAACCGCCTCCAGTCTCTAGCCGTTGGATATGGATCCATCCAACGATCCAGTTCACCCAAAAGTTACGGTTATCTTAGCTGCCGCCGCCATCCAACAAAGATCGACAGTCCAGCTGGCGCATGTAACGTACACACTTCACCCCTCGGCTTCTCTTGACGCGTGAGCTACTATCGATAAGCTGAGTCACCCTATTTCAGTCAAATCATCCCATGTTTCAAATCATGTCACAAATCCAAACAAATCCAAAACAAATCTATTAAAAATATTAAGTACTAAAATCGATCCCAAAAATCCAGGATCCCAACAACTGAGACATCATCATGCCCTATCATTATAGCCTCAACCAGACAAACAACCTTTTTTTCTTTAATAACCTAGCAAATTCAAATAGGAGGAAGGATTCAAACAATAAAAAAAGAGGATATTTTTCTTCCACAAAAAAGAAAAAAAGAAAACTGAGAGGATAGGAGAATGCTCACATACCTCAACACTCGCTGATCATATTGAGGGCCGCTAGAGTCAAAGAAACTAAAGAGAAGGCTTCATATGGTGGTCTTCTTTTTCCTCCCCGTCGTCGACTAGTGGTGGTCGACGTCAATCAATGACGACTACACGAATGAATCTCTCCCTTTTATCTCTAAGTAAGAAGAGGAAGAGAGAAAAGGAGTAGATGATATATTGGGCTTATGAACCCTAAAAGAAGACTTTATAACCCAAATGAAACAACACCATTTTGGCCTACCTTAACCCGCGTGTTATGGTCTTTTGTGGTTAATAGCACATTTTGTCCCTGTAGTTTGTAAGCTTTCAATTTTTACCATTGAATCAAACTTTTCAGCACTTTGTCTATATATGTGCTTTGACTCAGACCTAGAAGTTGTCTTGATCTATCTCTATAGATCTTAACTCCTAAGATATACGATGCCTCACCTAAATCTTTCATAGAAAAACAACTATCTAACCAAGTCTTCGCATACTGTAAAGTAGGTATATCATTTCCTATGATGAGTATGTCATCTATATACAAGATTAGGAAATGAACAATTCTCCCACTAGTCTTATTATAAACACAAGGCTCATCTTCATTTCTGATAAAACTAAATTCTTTGTTTGCATCATTGAAACGAAGATTCCAGCTTCGAGAAGCTTCTTTTAGTCCATAAATAGACCTTTGTAGCTTACAAACATTTCCTGTATTTCCTGGAGTGACAATACATTATGGTTGTTTCGTATACATATCCACTTTGAGTTTTCCATTAAGGAAAACCGTTTTAATGTCCATTTGCCAGATTTCATAATCATGAAATGCAACTTTTGCGAGCAATATCTGGATAGACTTAAACATAGCTACAGGGGAAAATGTTTCGTCATAGTTTATACCATGAACTTGTCAAAAACCTTTAGCGACTAATCGCCCCTTGTATGTTTCTACATTACAATCCATGTCAATTTTCTTATTGAAAACCAATTTACACTCTATAGGTTTGACCCCTTCAGGTGGTTCAACCAAAGTTCACACTTGGTTTATTGACATGGAATCCATCTCAGATCTCATGGCTTCAAGCAATTTCTCAGAGTCTGGGTTAGACACTACGTTGTGATAAGTTCTAGGCTCATCTGGATCCATAAGAAGAACATCTCCATGTGTGGTAATGAGAAAACCAAATCTTTCAGGTGCATGGCGTTCTCTTGTGGGTCTGCGCAGTGATTGTGTTTCTAAATCTATTGATTACTCCTCAACAACTTGTGAAACATGCTCAATTTTAGGTTCATTTATATGTTGTCCTTGAAATTCTCTAAGTCAATATTTCCACCATCCTTTTCTTTGAGAGAAATAATCTTTTGAGAAAGAATCTCGTTCCAGCAACAAAAACTTTGTTCTCGTCAGGGTTAAAGAAATAATATCCCTTAGTTTTTTTAGGATATCCAACAAATATACACTTATGAGGTTCATGTTCAAGATTTGTAGACATCTAATGTTTGATAAAAGCTTCACAACCCTAAATCTTCATAAAAAACATACTAGGACGCTTCCCAGTTCATATCTGATATGACGTCTTTTGAATCGATTTAGATGGAACACGATTTAGTGTGAAAGCGATTGTTTTAAGTGTATGTCCCCAAAAAGAAGTTGAAAGGTCACTATGACTCATCATTGATCGAACCATGTCTAGCAATGTTCTATTCATCCTCTCGAAAAATCCATTCCACTATGGTGTACCAGTTGGCGTAAGTTGTGAGACAATCCCACATTCTTCTAGGAGCTCATCAAACTCTATGCTCAAGTATTACCCACCTCGATCGGATCAAAGTTCCTTAATACTCTTGCCTAATTGATTATCAACTTCATTTTAAACTCTTTGAAATTTTCAAGAGTTTTAGATTTATGGCGCATAAGATAAATATACCCATATCGACTGAAGTCATCAATAAACGTAATAAAGTATTGGAATCCACCTCTAGCTTATGTACTTATTGTCCCACATACATCACTATGTATTAATCCCAATAAACCACTTGCTCTTTCACCTTTACTATTAAACGGTACCTTAGTCATTTTTCCTAATAATCAAGATTCACATACATCCAATTGTTCGAAAACAAATAAGTCTAAGAATCCATCCTTATGGAACTTTGATATGCGTTTCTCACTTATATGGCCTATATGATAGTGCCAAAAATAAGTTTGATTTGAGTCATTTGTTATTGATATTTTAGTATTTATTTTTATATGGTATTTTCTTGATTTAAAATATAGAGACCGTTAATCAACTGTGTTGAACCATAAAAACATTATCGAGATAAAAAGAACAACAATTATTCTTAATAATACTCTCAAAACAAATCTTGTCCAAGCAAGA